TGCTTTAATCGGACGAAAAACACGTCGACAGGATATTACTCGATGTAAAAGCGTTATCGGAGAAACACGGGTGTAACGGGTGAAAAACAAAAGTAACGGTGGCATCCGTATCAAGAAAGCGAAGTAATGTACGAGGGACTTGAATGGGAGCTCACCTCGTTAATTGGACTTGGTACGATGATGGTGCCGTGCGAATTGTTCTCCACGAAATTACCTCGATATTTTCTCGTTGTTGTCATTTTGTACCAATGCCGCAGCGTTATCTACGAAATACACGAACGAATTTTCTTCAGCGTCGTTACGAACCGCCAGCGCAGTTAAACCGTTAACGCGACACACTACACTCGACAAATCAGCAACTAGACGACACATATACGTAATTGGCGGAACAGCGCGCGCAGATTTTAAATTCGCAAAGCTCAGCATCACTTCCGCAAACGGTCGTTGCCTGTTACCATACAAATGTATTATTGATCTTGTCGTATTGTAAAATAAATTTCATGCCAATTTGATAGACAATTACGTTTAATTGCATCCAATTATATTGACGCGAAACACGGAATCGTTTATTGAACCAGTGATAACGATGCTTCTCGTTTTTCATGGTCGATGTAAAGTACGTCTATTCGAAAAAGTTTTGCAAAGTGATTTTATTTATAATGCTTCACCGTCTGATTAAAATCTTTTCAGGTATGAATTATTATTTTACAATTATCTTATTGGAACTACATGTATAAAATAATGATAATGAGGTTAACCTCTGTAGACATAAACATATACATTATAACATACGCAAGATATATTGAAAGAAATCTTGTCACATTTCCAAAAAAACAGTCAAAAGGAGACTTATATATTCTTTTGTCATTTGTCCGCCACAAAATCTGTTATACATGATAAAAAGCTAATACATTTTTATTTAATTTGATATTACACAAATACAGCCTGACCAACTTGAATATATTTTTAAGAAATTTGTTTGTAATGATCTTGTTTGTTGACAATGTTTGTAAATGATTCTTCAATTTTCACCATATATTTATAAATGTATAGTCAAAAATAAGCACATTTAAGAAAACTTGTTATATATTCTTTTCTGTTATTCATCCATCAAAAGTTATATGATAAAAAGCTAATACATTTTTATTTAATTTGACATTACACAAATACACTCTGCCCAACTTGAATATATTCCTAAGAAATTTCAATATTTATAAACGATTCTTCAATTTTCACCACATATTATAAATGCATAGGCAGTTCATTGACTAGTAGGTGGAGATTCACCATTATCATACTGGCTTTTATTCCTTAACAGATATCCTGCTAAAAAGCTAATGGGATCTGCAGGTCTTTCCTTGGCTAAATTAGACAGAGCTTGTAACAAAATTGGAACCACAGTCTGATCCAAGTATTGTCTAGTTGGAAGAGATTGTACTTCAACACGTGACTTCTTCGGTGGCACACCAGATAGATCAGAATCCTTATTCATTGCTAGTATCCTCTGCAATAATGAAAAATAATACAACACATTAAGGTTAGTGTTAATTTTATTTTCACAAACATAATTAAAAGTATCTGCTGTTATTTTCTTACACCTCTTACGGACTACGCACAAAAACATTTATACAGAACACAAGATCCTGAAATAAATCTAATGTAAACATATCCAAATAACCTAACTTAATGACATTGGTACAAAGCCAAGATCAAATTTTGATACAACAGCTGTCAACATAGTTGGCGGGAAATATTAAAATTATTTCATTCGAATAATCTGTTGTAGATTTTGTTACATAAAATCAACGTCGTACTAGAAAAATATCCAATTAATAATTGTCTTAGGAAGTGTCAATCTCGTAAGAGTTAACAGTAAGAATGTAATAACACAACAGGTTACACCTACGTTTATAGGTTATCTAACTTACGTGTGCTGTTTCGCTCACAACATTGGTGAGAGGTTGTGCCGGCGTCGCTGGCTCAGTCCTTTCCTCTGTTGTGTTTTCTGCTATTAGAAGAACAACACGTTGTTCGACATTATTATTACCACAAATTCTCGTCTGAAACGTATCGCCTAACACTACCTATTAAATGATAAAAAGCAAAATAAACGGTACGTACCACCACCGGACGCCATCGTGCGAACAAATGATGTTACCAACTATTACGAGTTATCACTGCACACCATTCAAATGTCACCATATCATAGACATTCGAAGTTTGATAAAATTTTTTTGATAACCTTATAAAAACATTTGAAATTGAACAATTGAGAATCAATAGCGCATTGCTTTTGTAGTATCATAAAATATTTATTAATGAATATTTAAAGTAAAATATTGAAGATATGAAATAGCGATAATTTAAAAATTACATTTTTAAATGGAAAATCTAATTCTCCGTGGACAACATATTAACTGAATTTTCGATAGATGTTTAGGAATTTAAAATAATTCAAACAGGTAATTTTTTTTTTTTTTTTTGGTTTTATTTATTTAACGTAAAGTTAGACGCTACGACTTTGGTACAAAAACATAAAATAGTGGTACTGAGGAAACGGTGTACTGCGAGCGGATCCTCGAGTCCCTACGAACGCGGAGATATACGAGTATCGTTGTATAAGAATGCGAACTTACAGCCAATTTAAAGGCGAGCACTGAGCGCAACACAGGGTACTAATTATGAAATGTCCCGAGTCTGCTTGCAACAGAAAAAGAAAACGATACGCGCCCCGCCGAAGGAGAAGCTCGAAGAACCGCCTCGTTGTTGCACGAAAACGAACATCCAATATTATCAATGAACAAAGCATAATATATGTATATGTATAACGCGGACGGCGGCACCGACCGTTTCACAGCATCATTAAAAGTAACATTAAACCTTGCAAAGAGAAACGATACCAGATCGATCACACAAATTATAACGATCAAACGAACAGTATTTCCCAATCGATTAATAGAAGAAAGCTATGTGACAATCCGCGGACATCACGTTTTTTTCTCCCCCTTTTGTTTTCCTTTCCTTTTCTTAATTAATATCGACGATCACGTGTGCGTTTGGCACACGCGCGATTAATCGTACGGCTAATATCGAATAAGTTAAATATCTTTCGACTTCTCTTTCATCGCGTTAAGTTTCAAAGCATCAAAGCGAAAAGTTCCGCGAGCATTACGTGAGTAAAACGTGATATACATCGTAAAAGGTGACTTGGATATGGCTATATTAATGTGGTAGAGCGCGATCGTAACACATACACGAGACACGAGACTTTTTGCGCAGCCTTTAAAATCACATCGATGAGTAAAAATGCGTCGGCGAGCGGAGTCGCAGCCAGTGATGCAAACGGAAGTTTGTGAGAAAAAAAAAAAGTTATATACGGTTCACGGCCAAAGTATCCCGGCAATAACTCGTCGTCAACGACGAGACATCCTTCGATCGTGATCCCTCTCAAAGTTCAACTGGTGTACCACTCGTGCATCGCCTCGGCAAATAAATGCGACACCTAGACATATCTACTTACAATCTATGCATATGAACGTCAATGTATGTATATATATATATATATTTATATTTATATATTTATATATTTTTATATATCTAAATAGTGTTGTGATAAAAACGAACTATGAGACACGCGCCGCAACCGTATCCTGGCGCCACATCGACCTACAGAATCGAATACATATTTCGAACGAACAAGTTCGTTCGAGCCGTTTTCCTTTTTCTTTTTTTTTCTTTTCTATCTCCATTTCTCGATATCTAATCGCGCTCTATCTAATCGTGATTCCTGATTTTTCTGTTTACCTATACTCGACGCGTCACCATTCAACGAAAGAGAAACGGCGCACCTCGCGACCATCCGTCCGACTTATGTCCTACTTATGTTTAAATCGGTATTTGTTGCTCGAATTGCTTACACGTATAATATCATCGTCGCTTTTATCATTAAATTCACGTACGTTCATAATTGATCGAGATTAGCTTGCGAATATATGTGTGTGTATAGCGGACTAAATATTATATAGGACGATTAAAAATCGACAGCGAGCGTGGTGTGTGCTTGCGCGTTATCCTCTCTCCTTTCGACATATGGCATGTGTGGTGTCTTATGGTGTGTGTGTGTGTGTGTGTGTGTGTGTATGTGTGTGTGTAGTCAGCTGGCGATTTCGCGTTTCGAATCATGATCTAGCGATTCAGCGTGCCGCGTTCTTCCTACGGATAAGTCGATCGGCGGTGAAAGAAATTTCGTGGAATTTCCGCGGCGGAAGAAATATCGGGACCAGACGCCACCACGGCATCGATGCGACCTGTTGTTGTCTGACTAACTTGCTACGACGACAACGACGACGCACTCTCTGCGACACTGTCGCAAAACAGTGCTCTCTACACTTGCTCTCCGCGACGTCGAGACTCAAGATCGTCGATCGCCAAAAAACAGGGACACAACCTTCGTTACGAAATTATAAATTGTATATATATGTATAATATTATCATATATATATATATATATATATTTATATATATGTATGTATGTATAATATCATATGCCTGCGGGGAGCGGCAGTGTGGCACAACCATGACTTAAAAAGCGAGTAACTAATGTATCTCGTGTTTACTTCCCGTGACTCGTGGCGCTTGGAAGCGACAATTGTAACCTAGGATATACCGCCAAAAATACCCCCGTGAAACGCACCGTCGCCGAGAGCACGCGTCGCGGGCCGGATTCTAGTCGCGTTTCCTCCAACATTCACACGAACATGCCGGGTGTGTTCGTTTTCTAGGACACTCGTTTACGACGTGTCGATCGGTGTATAGATCGTTCGTATAAAGTCACGCGATAACGACGCAATATGTTGCCCCTCGAATAAAAATGACCCCTTCGCCTTGATCGGCAGTCAATCAATTTGGCAGTTTCGTAATCTGGCCTTGTCGACAATTGAGCAAGAACGAGTGCGCTTATGCGAAAAAACGCGAGATCGAAATAGAGAAAGGCCAAAAATGGAATAAAATGATATGGTTGAAGACGAAGAAGACGGTCCCTTCAGGAGGCAAATATCGTCGTCGCCACGGTAATCCGAACGATTGTTTTAAGCGAAACGTCTCAACGAGCGTGCCGCCTAACGCGGTGGACCGAATCTATCTACTCGCGACGATGGTAATTTTCCTGATGTATCGTTGCAATTTGGACCGACGACAGCACCGGGGGAAGAGTCAGCGTGCGCACCCTTTCCGCTTCTCTCGTGTCTTCGGCCGCTGGTGACGAGAGAGACGGAAGACCACGGAAGATGATTTACAGGTTACACTGCCACAGTATCGTAGGGTGTGAGGAGTCCCCCGTGACCGCCGTGACCGGTGCCGGCTTGCCGGCTGGGGGCTTCGTTTCTGTAACGATAGTTCATGCTTTCAACTTCTCTCCTCGTACTCGTGCAATTCCCTTTTGCGTCAGCGATAATCTAACAGTATCCGCATACAGATACTATATGTGT